CAGTGTCCCTTGAATTGCAAGGTCAATTCTTAACCACTGAACCACTGGGGAACCCTGACACAGTCGTTTTAAAAGAAATCCTGTAATGGGACTTACGTGTGGTTAAATGATCCAGGGGTTAAGAATCCACCTTCCAATGCAGGGAACTCGAGTTCAGTTCCTGGTGGGGGAGCTAAGATCATGAATGCCACGGGGTATCTAGGTCCCTGTGCCACAACTACAAAGAAGCTCACAGGCTGCAACTAAGACCTGATGCTGCCCAAAATAATAAATAAATACATAATTTTAAAATCAACAAGTAAAAGAAACCCTGTAACCTTTCAGCAGGCACTTTCACAAATATAATTGTTTGGCCATTAACATTGGTAGAACTGGGGCTTCCTGGGTGGCTCATTCGGTAAAGAATCTGCCCACAGTGTGGGAGACCCGGGTTTGACCCCTGGGTCAGGAAGATCCCCGGAGAAGGGAATGGCAACCCACTCCAGTATTCTTGCCTGGAGAATCCCATGGACAGAGGAGCCTGGCGGGCTACAGTCCATGGGGTTGCAAAGAGTCGGACACGACTGAGTGGCTGACATACACACCAGGGAACTCCTCTACTCCTGCTTATTAAACAGCTTTCTTGGAGTCTTTAGATTTTTTCTGTCTGTCACTTGCATACATGCAGTAAAGGGAAGCTATAGATGCAATAAATTAGTTGAAGTCTTTCTAAGATTCTTTTGAACCGCTTATCAGTATCCATATATGATGAAGCCACATCACTTTCTGTGCTCTCCCGAGTACTAGTGATGTAGATATTTTGTCTCTGAGATGTTCATCCATGTTGCTGTTTCCCATTCTGCCACTTTCTGCATCTTACTAGAAGGTGTCAATGGAATGTGTTTTAAACAATCTGGGCTCATAATCCTTCTTCCAGTAGGTCTTGGTTTGTTAACAGTGAACCGTCTAGAGTTTCCTTTGTCTGGTCCTGCCTTTGGGAATAATGACCAAGTGCATTCGTGTGTAATCAGTGACAACAAGAATAAGGCAAGCAATCGTACGACTCACCCTAATTTCAGAGGTGAAAAAATATATGTCTTATAATTGATGAACATCATTCACAAGAAGTCTAGGAGTAAGCGGACATTCATTATCCCCGTGTCTTCGTGATGCCGAGGCTCCGGGTGAATGTCTTGGTGAGTCTTCTTGTCACAAGGTAGCGGTTCCCACACTCAGAGGCAGAAGGCAGGGAGCAGGGTCAGGCCTTTCTCCTTCTGCATGTCAGACAGAGAAAATCTCTCTGCCAGAAATCACTTAGCAAATTTCCCGTTACCTCCCATTGTCCAGAATTGCGTCACATGGCCATGAATAGTAGGTAGGAGGGAGTTTGGGAAATCTGTTTTTTCTCACCATTTTGAGAATGGGATTGGGGATGGCTTTTGGATGGTCAGTTAATAGTCTGTCTCACTGTGGTCAAATGCATTTGGAGTTTTCTCATTTTTTTTAATTTATATTTTATTTATTAATTTGTTTTTGGCCACACTGTGTGGCATGTGGGATTTTAGTTCCCCGACCAGGGATTGAACCCACACTCCCTGTATCAGAAGCATAGACTCTTAACCACTGGACCACTAGAGAAGTCCCTGATCTTTCTATTTTTGATTTCAGGAGCAACTTGTATGTCTCAGGTAGCTAGAGTAATATGTTAATCATCGTCATAGTTGACATTTTGGGACCACTTACTACACACTGGGCTCTCTGTCATGGACGGTTTATGCCATCATCCCATTTACTCCTCCCCACCCTCCTGCCACATGGATGCTGTTGTACAGATAACAGGCTGAGATCACCCAGCTATGAGTGATAGGACTGAATCCAGGTCTGACTCTAGAGCTGTGGTTTGTTCATTTATTATTGGAGTATAATTGCTCTACAATGTCATGTTAGTTTCTGCTGTACAACGAAGTGAATCCGCTACCTGAATACATATATGCCCTCCTTCTTGCGCCTCTTGTCCACCCGACCCCCATCCCACCCCTCCAGGTTGTCACAGAGCGCCAAACTGAGCTCCCTCAGCCACACAGCAGGTCCCCATGAACTATCTACTTACACGTGTAGTGTCAGTCTCATGGTTGTGTCCAGTTCTTTGGGACCCCGTGGACTGTAGCCCGCCAGACTCCTGTGCCCATGGGATGCTCCAGGCAAGAATACTGGAGTGGGTAGCCATTCCCTTCTCCAGGTGATCTTCCTGACTCAGGGATCAAACCTGGGTCTCCCGCATTGTGGACAGATTCTTTACTGTCTGAGCTCCCAGAGAATATACACATGGTAGTATCTATATTGGAGAAGGTGATGGCACCCCACTCCAGACCTCTTGCCTGGAAAATCCCATGGATGGAGGAGCCTGGTAGGCTGCAGTCCATGGGGTCGTGAAGAGTCAGACACGACTGAGCGACTTCACTTTCACTTTTCACTTTCATGTGTTGGAGAAGGAAATGGCAACCCACTCCAGTGTTCTTGCCTGGAGAATCCCAGGGACGGGGGAGCCTGGTGGGCTGCCGTCTATGGGGTCGCACAGAGTCGGACACAACCGAAGCGACTTAGCAGCAGCAGCAGCAGTGTATATATGGCAATCCTAATCTCCCAATTTGTCCCACCCTCCCCGTCCCCCGCTGTGTTCCTGTGTCCATTCTCTACTGTGTGGTTCTTAATCTTCAGTTTCTATAGCTTCTGGTATGGCACTTCTAAATGGTTATTTGTCCATTTGTCTTTTTACATTTTGTCAGAAATCTAGCTATATTTTTGGTACTTCCTAGTGACACCTAGCACAGTGTCTTGCCCACAGCCAATCCTTGATAAATCTTTGTGAAATAGATAAAGGAATAAATGGAAGAATGAATGAAAGAGCAAATTTATAAGTAGTTTTCCTGAATGTTAACCTAATATTGAATTAGTCCATTATAATTATCAGAATATTTCCTCCCTCTTTTCAGGATCAGTTTTTCTTCTTTAGTCTCATTTCTTCTAAATTCTAGATGTCATCGTGAATGTTTCTTAGTAGAAATATCATGGGTCATTAACTGATAGATTTGGAGAGGTTTATACTGGGCAGCCAGTTCTACCCAATTTTCTTGGCAAAGACTATCAAGCTGTCATATCTGGTAGGTTAAGCCTCAAACCCCTTGCCCACCAACATCCCAGGGCAATATCTGAGGCAACCAGGACAATTTCTGCCTTTTTCATACGTGCATTCATGCCAAGTTGTTTCAGTCATGTCCGAGTCTTTGCAAATCTATGGACCATAGCCCACCAGACTCCTTTGTCCATGGGATTCTCCAAGCAAAAATACTCCAGTGGGTTGCCATGCCCTCCTCCAGGGTATCTTCCCAACCCAGAGCAAACCCATATGTCTTATGTCTCCTGCATTGGCAGGTGGGTTCTTTACCACTAGAGCTACGTAGAAAGCCCACCTCTTTCATATAATGCCCTCCAAACACCCTTTGCCTGGATTTCATATTCTAATTGTGTATATATCTGATTACTTAAATAGTTTTCTATGTGTTGTTGTTAGTTTCCAGGAGACATTGCATCACACGGGATCTTTCTTTGTGGCACATAGACTCTCTAGTTCTTGCACACAGACTAGTTGCTGTTGCTGGGGCTTAGTTGCTCCGCCGTGTATAGAATCTTAGTTCCCCCACCAGAAATGGAACCTGCATTACAAGGCAGATTCTTAATCGAACCACCAGGGAAGTCTGCCTGTCACGTCTTGTTCCAGGTCCCAACCCAATTCTCAATAACCCCAGTCTCCTACCAGCTCCTCCCACCTCAGGTTTCCTATTCTGCAAACAGGAGTCTGTCCTCCAGCCCCCCAGGTGCACCTAAGACGCCATTGTCCCTGTGCCTGCCTTACAATCCTTTTCACAATGACAAGAGTCTCTCATCCAGACAACAAGGCCCTTCCCTTTCATAAGTATAATGGATCAATCTTGCTTTCCTAAATAAAAGAACAGTTTCTGCCTGAGATGATGTCTGTGGCTCCCTCAGGACAGTAAAGGGCTTCCCTGGTGGCTAAGTGATAAAGAATCCACCTGTGATGCAGAAGACGCAGGAGAGGCAGGCTCGATCCCTGGGTTGGGAAGATCCCTGGAGGAGGGCATGGCAACCCACTCCAGTTCTTGCCTGGAGAATCCCATGGATAGAGGAGCCTGGCAGTCTACGGTCCACAGTGTTGCAAAGAGTCGGTCCACAGTGTTGCAAAGAGTCGGATACAACTGAAGTGACTGAGCAAGCAAGACAGAAATGGTTACAGTCAGCAGGGTTTTGTTGCATGTATGTTACTATTTTTTTAATATCATCTTTTTCCTTCCTGATTCATTACCTTTGGCTATTTTATGAAGCTCAGATGCACCAGTGGCAGTCAGTCTGACTCATGGACAGTCACATGAGTAGATAAAAGAAATTGCTGTTGTCATACATTTAAAAAATATTGTCTGCATTTGATTTCCTTTGAAAAGACTAAGGACTGAGCACATACAGATTATTAAGTTCTGATCTTCTGGCCAGATTCCTGTGTCCTGGTGATTGAGAAAAATGTAGCTATATAAGGATTTTTATTTATGTAAAGCTGGAGAAGCCACAGACAAGTCCTGGAGAGTAGGGACTGAAGGCAACGATAGTGTCCTCCACCCTGGGCCTGGCTGAGACCCTGCTTTATTGTGGGGGTGTCTGAAGGAGAGGAGAGTCTGGAGGCAGAGACATAATAGTTGAGCCTATAGGAAGCCCTGGGACATTCTGGGCCTAGTCCCCTTCTGTGTTTCCCAAAAGTACGCGGGGCAGCTGCCTGTGCAGAGCCCTTCCAGGGGCTTGCTCTCTCCTGTGCTGACTGTCAGAGACCCCTGCAGCTCCCCCTGGCTTGTGGGGCAGGCCTCTGATGGGTGCCCCCTTTGCGTGTGTCCCCCACGCTGTCCCTAGCCCATGGGGCAGGCCTCTGATGGGTGTCCCTCCTGTGTTGCGTCCAGGGACAAGGTGCCTTATCGGAGCGACTCCGGAGCTTCAGCATGCAGGATCTCTCCACCATCAGGGGAGACGGCACCCCTGCTCCCTCGGGCCCCCCTCCACCGGGCCCTGGGCGGGCCAGCGGCAAGCACGGCCAGCCTAAGATGTCCAGGAGTGCTTCTGAGAGCGCCGGCAGCTCAGGTAAGTATCACTTCACTTCCCTTCTTTCCCACCTCCTAGGCCTTGCTTTCCTAGTGAGAGGCCAGGCCTTCCTAGCACCCTTTCCCCAAGGACTCAGCACTCACACAGACGCCCACCAGACCATTCAGGCCAGCCAAGGGACTGAGTGCCACTCAGGCCAGGATGGGAAGCTGGCCTTGGGAACTCTGATGGGGGCAGAGTTAGGTCACCTACACCGAGGGTCCTGATTCCTGCATCTGATTATCTGGGTTGGGCGGGTGTTGAGGGTGGTTGAATAGTGGTACGCAGACCAAGCCTAGAGGTGACTGGCCCAGCTGCCCTCAGCCAAGGCAGCTTCCTCCCTTTCCTTCCTCTCTGTCCACATGCTCCCAGGAGGGCTCACCTGTCATGAGCACCTGAGTGTCTCCCCCCCACACCCAGGGCTTACGGCTCCCATGGTCCCTTTTCTTGACATGGTGTTTCCTGTCTTCTCATTCTACCATCTCGTCCCTTCCTTGTGCCCCCACCATAAACCTCACCCTGGGCCACCACGTGCCAAGGCCACACTAGCCCTGAGATTTAATTCCTGCGGAGGCCAGGGTTGTATGAAACCATATCTCTGCCTCCATGTCTGCCCTGGTAGAGAGGGGTCCCTGTGCCAGAATTCACATGGGACCTTATTATTAAATGTGTAGCGTGCTGGGCCTACCCCCAGGGGATTCAGTTTGTTGAGGACGAGACCCTGATACATGATGCTGTCAAGGTGCAGCCACATTTGGGACCCACCAACATCTGACCCATCAATGGGTTTCTGGTTTGTGGAGGCTGGGGTCGGGGACTGGAGGGGTAGGGAGCCGGGCAGGACTTCTGGTTCCCCAGACTGTTCCCAGGGGAGGTTACAGGGCTGGGCACTCCTGCTGAGGGTTGATGGAGAGGGGGCGGGCTGCAGGGCATGGTTCTGAATCTCCACCTCCGCCCCTCTCGCTTGATGGGACATTGAGCCTGGGGGTGGATATGGGGCCACTGTGGCAATCTCTGGCTGTGACGTGTGCCAGGTGGCTCTCCTGCCCTTAAATGTATAAACAGGGATGTCCAGGTCACTTAGACCTGGGTCGTGTGCTGTGAGATGCAGCCCGCGGGGGACATCTTAGAGTCCTGAGCACAGGGTCCTTCCAGGCCCACCCAACTTGAGGGTCTAAGACATGGATGGGAAAGAGGAGCTTCATGGCTGCCCTGGGAACGACAGCGTCTGCTCCCCGCCTGGAAAAGGAGACCAGCTCAGAGCCAGGCCTGGCATCCGCCAGTTTCTTCCCCTCTCGGGAATGTCCCCTCTACCTAGGATTGAAGATTATGGCTTTTCTGTTGGAAGAGAGATGTTTTAGCCCTACCAGGGTTGGGGAGATGGAGGCTTGGCCATGGGGGTGAGATCCACCTCCGGTAGGGAAACCCTGTCCAAGGCCAGGCAGGAAGGGAGCTTGGGGATCACTCAATCTCACCCTCTGATTTTACCAACGAAGAGACAAAGGCCCAGGAAAGGTAGCTGTCATCAGGTTTGCGCCTGCTGGTGGCATTCTCCTGTGGCCCCTGACTCCCGGGTCAGTGCCTTCTATCCACTCACCCACTGACCATCAGGTTTCCTTGAGCATCTTTCGCCTCTGACCTCCCTGGCTCCTAGGCATGCGAGCCTCCACTCTTGATCAGTTTCTGGGCTACCGAGCCTCAAATGAAAGCTGTCACTTTGACTTGATAAAGGGTCCCAATTCTGTGAGGCTCAGTGGGCAGAGCTAAAACCAACGGGGTAGAGTTCTGAGGGGGCAGCCGCTTAGCAGCTGTGTGGCCGGGGCAAGTGCTTTATCCTCTCTGCACCACAGAGTCCTTATCTGAACACATGGAATGACTAGCCCCATGTGCAGAGTTGTCATGAGGATTCAAATGAAATAATCCATGTGAAGGTGCTTAGGGTCATGCCTGTCACTCTAAGTAGTAGCTGCTATTACTGTTCTTGTTGCTGTCTAACTTACCTAGAAAAGCAGTTTAATGTTAAAGTGACCAGGATGAAAATGAGCTGCCTTGTGAAGTATTGAGATCCCTGACATTGGAAGGGCCCAAACCAGAGTTACCATGTACCAAGTTCCTGCGCTGGCCAGGAAGTGAGTCTAGGTGGCCCTGCAGTCCCTTCCTCTCTCTGTTGTCACTATAGAGGCAAACTTAGAAGAGGAAGTAGGCTCAGAGAGGTCACATACTGTGCCAAGGCCACACAGGACCAGAATCCAGGCCTCCTGCCTACTCCTCCCTTTGGCGGATTATTTGCAGCAGCTTCAAAATTGGGAAAAAGAGAGGTCTGGTAGGATCTAAAAGGAGATGGATGTTGCTCAGTCATGAAAAGGCATGAAATTTTGCCATTTGTAGCAACATGGATGGACCTGGAGGGTATTATGCTTATTGAAATAAGTCAGAGAAAGACAAATACTGTATATATTTACTTATATGTGGAATCTAAAAAATAAAACAAATGAATATAATGAAATAGAAACAGATTCATAGGTACTGAGAAGAGACTACTGGTGGCCAGAGAAGAGAAGGTTGGGGGAGGGTAAAGTGGGTGAGGAGAATTAAGAGATACAAACTGCTGCATATAAAATAGGTTACAAAGATGCCATGTACAGTGCAGGAATGTAGCCAGTATTATGTGAGATTTTTCTTTTCCTTTTTGGTCACCCTGTGTAGCATGTGGGATCTTAATTCCCTGACCAGGATTGAATCCATGTCCAGTGCAGTGGACGCACAGAGTCTTATCCACTAGACCACCAATAGTCTTACCAATGTTACTTATAACATCTTTATCTGGAGTATGATCTATAAAAAATATTGAATCACTATGTTGTACACCTGAAACTAAATATTATAAGTCAACTGTACTTCAGTTAAAAAAGAGAAGGCAATGGGGGCATCCCCTGGGCTTTGAACATTTTCTCAGGCCAGCACTTGATGGAAATAGACTTGGGCTGATTTGTCTTCCTGGCCCTGCCCCCCTCCATGCTCCATGATGCCCCAGAAAGCAGGGGAGCACACTGGTTGCAGGTGTGCAGGCTGAGCAAGTGGAGTTCACGGAGAACCAGAGAGCCTGCTGTACTATAACAAAATGCACTCTCCTCACTGCCTGCCCTTGGCCATGGCACCCATGATTTCAGGGCTAACAAGTGGGGTGTTGACCTAGCAGGAAGGACAGGGACCATTGATTTGCCTTCGCCCTAGCTGTTCTGGGCCTAAAATAAAAGGCAGCTCAGAAAGAAAGACAGGTGAAAGATGGCTCAGGGCCTGGGTTGAGGGTAGAAGCACCCAGGTCAGAGGCTCTGGAGTTGTCATAACTCCAGAGGGGAGGGTCAGGGTGCCTAGGAGGAAGTCCACCAAAGGAGGCCCAGCTGGTGTGCCCTTCCCAGCCCTGGCCTCAGACACCAGACGTGGTTTGGTCTGGGAGATGGCCCCGAGTCTGGGCTTCCTTCCTGACTGAGTGACCCTGGGCCTGGACAGAGATGGCAATGCAGCGAGGCTGACGTCACCAAGCAGTCACCACTCTCATTCCCACCAAGCCTATATCCAATCTCAGAACCTTCCTGAGAGTGATTCCGTGGGCAGTCACTATCAGAGGATTTGTCCTTGGACCAGGAAAGGAGCCCAGTTCGCTTCAGCCTTTGCCTTTGAAGGTGAGATACCAGAATCCCTATTTGACCTCCATCTCGGGGTTGTGAGAAGAGCAGTTGAGGTATTAATAACTTGCCAGTCCTGGACCAGAGACCACTGTTGCAGACAGGCTGGGTAGGAGGCGGTGGCTGCACACCCCAGGGAGTTGTGTGCAGCTGTTGGAAGCAACAGTTTCAATGCACATTTAGGTAGAGTTTGAAAACATGAGGCCTAGTGAAAAAAGTACAAAATGGAATAAGAGATTAGGTAATAATTTATGTAAAATAAAAATATACATGCCCACTGGTATAAAATAACACCATGCAATTCTGTGGCCCACCCTGCAGAATAAACGGCCTGGGAAGTATTCTGTCAGACATCATTTATTGCAGGTCTGGCATTGAACCCAGGGAAGGGTACAAAGGGAATTGAAAGAATGATCTTTGCCCTCCATGAATTTGGAGACAGCCTGTATTTAGTGAGCAGCTACTGTATACCAAGGGCTTCCCACGTGGATCAATGGTAAAGAATCTCCCTGCCAATGCAGGAGATGTGGGTTTGATCCCTGGGTTAGGAAGTTCCCCTGGAGAAGGAAATGGCAACCTGCTCCAGTATTCTTGCCTGGAGAATCCCATAGACAGAGGAAGCTGGCTGGCTACAGTCAATGGGGTCACAAAGATCAGACATAGCTGAGCGTGCATACACACACATACACACTGTATATACCAAGGCCCAGATATGCACCAAGACCAGTGGAGTGTGTAAGGTAGCAGCCAGTTAGCCACTGGGGCCAGATGGCCAGACACAGACCCCTTTGGGAGTTCAGAGGTCAGTGTGAGCAGATTTTCTGCAGTCCATGCCGAATTGGGAGAGAGAGAGAAGGGGCAGTTGGAGTTATTTCTCAGAGGAAACTTGGACTTCATCCCCTCCCTCCCCTCGGGCTGCAGGTCACAAGGACCGGCCTCTGTGCGCCAGACAAGGGCATTTTCTAGCACCTGTGAGGAAGCGGAATCTGGAGTGATCCTCTGTCCTACCTTGGTGTCTCTACAGAGACCCACATTCCTGGGACCCCTGTAGTGAACACATGGGGATGCCCACACCTCCCTGGGGCCTCCCTCTTGGCCTGGGGCTGGTTCCTGTCCAGGTGAGGGGTATCACTGATGATGCCCCCGTCCCCACAGTGTGTACCTGCTGCTCCACCTGCAGGACCCGGAAAGGTGAGTACACAGCCAGCCTCCCTGCAGCGTGCGAGACCTGCCTTGGGAGGAGGCTCTAACCGTGAGCTGGTGTCTGACCTTGGGGCTCCCTTTCAGCTGCAGGGTCAGGGGGTGGGGTGGGGTGAGGAGGTTAACTCCTTAAAATAGCAAGTGTGTATTATCTTGCAGCAAATTCAGGCTAGAATTTGGGAGCAGCTTAATTGGGTGTCTGTGGCTCAAGCACTCTCAAGAGTTATGGTCTGGGTGTCATTCAGGCCCACAGCTGTCTGAAGGCTTGGCTGAACATGGCCAACTTGTGGCTCTTGGCTGGAGGCCTCAGCTCCTTTCCAGGTGTCTCTCTGGGGGCTGCTTGAGCATCCTCACCACGTGGTGGCTTCACCCAGGGTGAGTGATGCAGGAGAGAGAGGCCAGGTGGGAAGCCACAGCACCTTTTAGGACCTGGTCTTAGAAGGCACAAAACCACCACTTCTGCCTTGTTCTGTTTGTTGGAAGTGAGTCATTAAGTCCAGCCCATCCTCAAGGGGAGGGGAATTCATCTCCATCTCTTGGAGGGAGGAGTAACAAGGAATATGGAAATACTTTAAAACCATCACAGAGTCATAGATCCCTGTGCTCTTGGTGATAGGAGTGCCAGGCCCTTACCCAGGTCCCCGGAAGTGATGGAGCCCTGCAGTTCTGGGGGTTTCAGTCCTTGTGCAGCCAAGGGAGCCCTGGTCCTGCTTTGCCACTTACCAGCTGTGTAATTATGTGCAAATCACCTAACCACCATAAGCCTGGGTTTCCTTCCAATAGAGATAAAGCTCCCCGCTTCCCCACCTCACTGTGCAGCTATGACAATATCTGTGACAGGGCTTTTTGAAGAATGATGATGGTAACGATGCTGACCGTAATGGCCAGAAGGCCTCAGGGAGATGGGACTGGGCTCTCCTAGGCCTGGGCAGGGCGCCTGCTGCCAGCCTCCCTGGGTGAGGGAGATGTCTGGGCTGTGTTGCTGTCTTCTGACCTGCTCCTGCTCTTTCCTTGATCTTAACATGTGAGGGACCAGAGATGGTGCTGGGCTAACCCAAGTCCCCCATACAACCCCTTGAAGGAGTTTCCTTTGGCTCAGAAGGCAAGAGGGGCCACGCCTGGCCTGCGGCTGCTGGCGGGTGTCGGGGGTGGAGGAGGAGGGAGACAAGCCCAGTGCCACTGTTGCCGGCACCCCCAGCCCTGTTGCCGCCGAGACGTGGTTCATGCTTCCCACATAAGTGGCGAGCAGGAAGGCATGGAGCTGTGTTCTAAGAAGGATCCTCTCGTCCCTTTATTTCTTCAGTTTTAAGACGTTTCCTTCTTTTTTTGGCCACACCACACGACATGGGGGATTTTAGTTCCCGGACCTGGATTGAACCCATGCCCCCTGCGGTGGAAATGCAGAGTCTTAACCGCTGGACTGCCAGGGGAGTCCCTTAGACCAGTGGTCCCCAGCCTTTCTGGCACCAGGGACTGGTTTCATGGAAGACAGTTTTTCCATGGACTGGGGTTGTGGTGGATGCTTTCAAGATGATTCAAGCACATTACATTTATTGTGCACTTTATTTCTATTATTATTCTATCAGTCTCCCCTCAGATCATCAGGCATTAGATCCCAGAGATTAGGAACCCCTGCCTTAGACATTTCAGCTCTTGGATTTTTAAAGGTCTGTAGAAGACCTGGGGGTTTCAGAGGCCATGAGCCTAATGAGAATAGATGGTCTAAAGATTCCTGAGCAGGAGGCTGTGGGGACCATCGTCCTGCCGGAACAGAGGAGTGCACATATGCTCAACAAGGATGAAACAAACCCAGGGGCTGCACATAGCTGTGTCCAGCACTAGCACATAATACTCGGGTCTGCTGGATGCTGCTGCTGCTAAGTTGTTTCAGTCATGTCCAACTTTTTGTGACCCTATGGACCATAGCCCATCGGCTCCTCCTGGGAAATGTCCATTACATTTCCCAGGCAAGAATACTGGAGTGAGCTGCCATGCCCTTTCCCAGGAGATCTTCCCAACCCAGGGATCAAACCCACATCTCTTACGTCTCCTGCATTGGCTGGTGGGTTCTTTACCACTGGTGCCACCTGGGAAGCCCGCTGGACACACCAGTTCGAGGAAAACAACCATCCCAGTGACCTCAGGCAGTTATGTTTATTTCTATCTAATCACCCTACAATTTGGAGTTTGTAAATACCTTAAGCCACTCAGAAAGCCTTTCCCCATGGGATCCTGTCATCTTGGGGACCTGGGAGAGGAGAGAAGCAGGTGGGTCTGCTCCATGCTGCCCTCTGGGAAGTCCCCCTCCCCCGCCACCCCCACAACACCTGGTGATTTCATCATCAAAGCCTCCCTTTCTCGGACATTAGAATAGAAGTTAAAATAGAATTATCACTGGTGGTGAGCGTTGAGTAGAGTCTGGCCTTCCCGGGAGCTGTGGGGATGGGGATTGTTGGGGATGGGGCCGCAGGTAGGGCTCGGTGGAGGCCTCAGGCCGGGGTGGACCTGCTCAGAGTCATGATCTGGGAGCCTCTGCCCCAGCCCTGCCTTTCTCAGCCTTCTGAACATTCAAGGCCCTGGAGTTCTACCCTATCTCCCTAAAGTATGCTTGCAAGGAAACAGCTAGTGAGTCATCTGCACCATTTCCCTCTGTGATGATGGGAAAGCCCCTTGACTCTCCAGGCCTTAGTCGCCTCCTCTGTAAAATAGGGTGAGGGATTAAACTCTCGGCTCCTGGGACCCTTCCAGCTCTGACCCATGCAGGGCGCTGGCTGTGAAGCGTCAGCAGATGGTGTTGGGAGAGGTGTGTCTCACATCTGGGGCTGGGGCACCGATGCTGCAGATCACAGATGCTCTGGTCAGAGGGGCCCTCCTGGTCCCCTGAAATGATTAAATGATTTTCATCCATGCCTCTCATGTCCCAAGAGAACTTTCTGCTCCATTCCTGCCTGTCACCGTCTCCTGTTGTTTCCTGCACATCTGTCTCTCTTTTTCTGTGCTTCTATTATTATCTCTGTCTCCCACCCCTACCGCACTTTCTCCCCGCTTTTCTCTCTGCCTGCCTTGATGTTATATAGAACTGAAGACTGAATTCTGTCACTGCTCGAAATAAGTCATAGAGGTGGGCCCCCCGCCCCCACTTTTTTAAATCAAGTAGATGGGACATATTTTTAAAAGCAGAATCATCCCTTTTTATCCTATTAAAAGAGAGAGAGAATTGCATCTTTTCATGAGAGGGGCCCTGGGGCAGTTTCTTCCCTCAGAGGTTTGGAGTGTGGGCAGTGAGTGAGTGAGTGAGTGTGTGTGTGTGTGTGTGTGTGCACGAACACTCACACACGTGTGTGAGTTTCATCCCCAAAGGTCCTTCCTTAACAGGATATTCTTTCCTTTCTCTTCGGTGGCTGTTGGGGACTCAAATGTAAGTGGTCCAGATAGGCGTGCTCTCCTCAAATGTGTTTGCTGACTTTGATTAATGGCTCCCACTAATGTGTGCTGTGTGGAAGTGTTCGCTAACCCGGAGTGTTTGCTGCACTGGGGGAGGGGTGTGGGGAGGCCTGGGGCTCCTGCAGATGGATCTGCTCAGCCTTGAAGGGCTGGGAGTTTCTCCCTCCTTGCACTCCCCACAGAGAGAAGAGGTGCTGCCGCTTTCCAGCCTGCTCTACGCACATTTGCTAACACAGAAAGTAAGCCAAGGCCATACACTCATTCCCCCACTGAGGAAAATTAGAGTGATGCCTGTCTTTTCCTGGAGACCGCCCAGCCCTGGCCACCGTAGTCAGCTCTGTGGGCTTAAGGGCTTGGCTGCCATCCCCTGAGGTTTGCAGGTGGCTGTGGCCATGACTTTGCATGAGATACTCCCCTCATACAAGTTGTCTTCAGGAGCCATCAGATTATTAAGATGTAGACAGTAGCACCCTTTTGGGTGAGGACCTGGTGGATCACAAATTCTGTTTGGATGTCCAGCAAGAGGAGCGCTGAGGAGGCCCAGCACCACATTTCTGCTCAGCCACTGATTTTCATCTGAGTGCCCATAAAGATGGGACCATGTTCATGGGTTTTATTTCTTCACTGATACTCCTCCCTGTACCCTAAGGGATTTAAGTCTGCTTGTGGAAATACAGATGATAGATCAAACCAAATAAGAAAAATGAAGCTTGGAGGGGAAGGGAGGAGGCAGGTAAGATGGAGTCAGAATGAGAAGAAAAATATAGGCGCTTGTCATGAAGTCATAGACAGTCTGAGATGCTGGGCTTCCTCGCAGCCAGCACAAAGAGGGAAATGCAGTTAAGCAGTTCATTGTCCAACTTCCCTGGTGGTCCAGTGGTTAAGGATGTGCCTGCTAATGCAGAGGACATGGGTTCGATCCCTGATCTGGGTAGATCCCACATGTCACGGGACAGCTAAGCTTATATGCCACAACTACTGAGTCTGTGCTCTAGAGTCTGGAAGCTGCAACTACTGAGCCCATGTGTTGCAACTATTGAAGCCCACATGCTCGGAGAGCCCATGCTCTGCAACAAGAGAAACCACCGAAACGAGAAGCCTGTGTGCTGCAACTAGAGAAAGGCCATGTGCAGCAACAAAGATCCAGCGCAGCCAAAAACAAATAAGAGATTCATTGTCACAGCACAGAAGACATCTGGAGGCTCAGAGGCTCAGCCTGTCTACAGTGTTTCGTCTCCTGGGTCCCGAGAGTCAAGCAGAATATTACAAACAACATTCTTGGCAAAAACTCTCCACGAACACAGTGACCAATAGGATTCTCCTCTTTTCAACAGGTTCTCTCTGTGTCTTCTATTAGAAGATACTTCTGGTCCCCGAGCTGCCCACACTGACTTCCTCACTCCCCACCTCTGCTGAGTTGAAACCTTATTTCCCATTCCTGCCTGGATCTCTGGACTTCCCTTGATCCATCACTCCTGGTGGCCCTTCTTTTCTACCATTTCGTCCATGCTAAAGGATGCAGTGGAGAACTAACTCAAAGCATTTTTGCTTCTCTCTTAGATGGCACTTGTTGTTGTTATTATTGCTATTCTGACAGTGTGAGTTCACTGCTCAGTCCCAGTGAGTCCAGACGGGTGGGCAGCCTGAACTGTTCCATGCCTGAGGATCTTTTGGTGACTCTGGGCTGCCTTCTGAACCCCAGAGTGATATGTTGAGGGAAAGCCTTGGCCCTGAATTTAGAGGGACCCTCACGTGCAGAAGCACAGACTCAAACCCTAGTCTGCTTTCAATATGGGGGATTTTGTGCTGGGGCAGACCTGGGCAGGTTGCTTCTGCCCTGGTCTTCTGGTCCTAGGCAGGCCCGCCTCTTTGTTCTCCTGTTAGGTGTTCAGAGGAATGTCCTTGTGATGGGTGTTGAGTTCTGTTTGGGACAAGGGTGGAGCCCTCTGAGATGATGTCAAGATTCCACCTCTTTTAGTGGATGGGTGGCCACTGTGGGCGCAGTCCTGGATCAGCTGCTCAGAGTGACCAAGAAGGATTAGCCATAGCTCAGCCCACTTTCTTTGAAGCTGAGGCAGAAACTGATGGACAGGAGAACTAGGGCTCGAGGCACAAGCCATGTGGTACACATCCCAAGACCTTTTGGGTGAGTTGATAGGCTGGGGAAGACCAGAGCATTCAAGGAGGGCCAGACTGACCAGTTTTCACATTTATCCATCTTAACGATGCAGCTGACTTGGGCAGGGGAAGGGACCAAAGAGAGCCTAAACCCAGAGGAAACAGGTTGGGGGATGCACAGGAGCAAAAAAATGCAAAGAAGGGTTAACATTCTCAGGCTTGGCTCTATCCTGTCTCAGCTGGTCACTCCCAGTCTACAATTCGGCTTTGAGATTCTTGGTTAAGACAACTGTGTTCCCATGCTGCCCCCTGCTGTTTGTTGGGAGTATAGCAGCAACGACTGGGAAAGCGGCTCAAGACTAGGCTCCCGCTGTTAGTTTTATGAAGTCCAGACTGGATGCTGTCATACCCCTTTTGATGAGGAGAACACATTTGGTGGCTGAACATGTTTTTAGGGGAAGTAGCAGGGCGTCCCAGAAAGAGCTCTGGTTTCTGTCTGCAGGCCTCAGGTGGTCAGATCAGGTGATCTGAGGGACCCCGGCTCTGCTTTCTGTGGTTCTAGGTAAAAACAATATATGAAGCCTAGAAAGATATGTCTCTGAGTGTCAGATAGACTGGGACAGGAAGTATTTTATATCTTGACTGAGATAGGATCACGTGGCCAGATGACATGGAATATGCTCCACCTTCGATGTTGCAGAAATACTCAGTGATGTGAAGCTGAAGCTCCAATATTCTGGCTACCTGATTCGAAGAGCCGATTCATTGGAAAAGACCCTGATGCTGGGAAAGATTGAAGGTGGGAGGAGAAGGGGGTGACAGAGGATGAGATGGTGGGATGGTATCACCGACTCAATGGATGTGAGTTTGAGCAAACTCCAGGAGATGGTGAAGGACAGGAAAGCCTGGCGTGCTGCAGTCCACGGGGTCGCAAAGAGTCGGACACGACTGAGTGAACAACAACAACAGTGACACAAATAAGTTCTGGAGTTTTCCACGTGCATTAGTCATGGCAGACCAAAACAGGAATCTCGCTGCTGCTTTTGAGGGGAAGACTGCTGCTAGGTTCTCTTTCCACCAGTCTCCTTTGCTTCTCTGTCTAGCACTTGGCCTTTGAAATGAAAAGTCTACATTGCTTAAGGTTCTCTCTGAAGGCTTCCTGGCATTTTACATCCTTTCTCCTAAGGACAGCTCGCAGCTGTATGTGCAAATACAATTAAGGCACTGTCAGCTTGTATGTATCATGCAGAAAACTGTGTCACTCCCCTCCCGAAGTCACTGCCACCATCCTTTCCAGAGGATATTCTTCCCCCCTGGTGTTCTTCTGGTGTGGCCTCTCAGCTCTAAGCTGTAGGGTGTGATCCATCTGTTAAGACAGAGGTACCCCCACCTGGACTCCCACCTCCCCCTGGTAGCTTGTCAGTACATTCTGAAGCCTGCACTTGTTCCTGTGCATAGTGTCTCACCGTTGCAGTGATCCTGGATCCCCTGCAGTGTCCTGGGAAGATGTCGGGGCCTCGGTTCTCCTAACTGGCCTGGCTTGCCATGCTGTGTGCCTAACCTCGGCCTGCCTGTCTTCACTCCTTTCTTCACTGATGCCACCTTGCTGTACTTTGTCTCCCCTGCGTAGATTGTAAATGGCCATTCAGTGGTTGAGGGCGATGTGGATGAGGGTGGTGTAAAGGCCTGGGGGCCCCACCAGGTCCAAAACCCATTGGCGTTTTCTGACGAGGAGGAGGAAGACCTGCTGGACTTCATGTACAAGTTTAAAGCACCTCGAAAGACGGAGTTCCCCCTGGAGGTACACGGTATCGGGGGCTGCGGGGTGGAGCGTGTGTTTACACAGAGGGCTTTGCCCTGGAGGTCTGGGCTCCTGGGAGTGGCATCTCTTGGGATACCCAGCATCTCCTGAGTGTCTGAGGAGGGGAGACCTCCCTCCAGCAAACAGGCAGGAGCAGCCACTAGGTAGCATCTAGCTACTTGCCAAGGGGTGAAAAAGACTCTACCACTTTTATTTGGGAATCGAAGAAATGAGATCATGTCTAGGGATTAAACAAAACAAACAAAATATCCAGCTACCAACTGAAGATGATGCGTGAGTGAAAAGCAACCCAAATGAGTGTTTTGGGGGAGAGAAAAATTCAGAATGTCTTACGATCTGTCTTTATAAATAGAGCTTGTTCATCTCTCTATCTCCATGTCACAATATAGTGACCGATACAAAATATTGGGTTAGCCAAAAAGTTTGTTCGAGTTTGGAAACACCCAGACGAACTTGTTGGCCAACCCAGTAGATGTTCATAAAATGTTATTAAAAGGGCACAGCCAAATGAGCAAAACAATACACTTGATATACGTACTCTGGCCAAGTGCAGACATAGATGGAATTTTGGCAGCTGGAGGCCAAGCCTAGAGCCTCAGGTCATTGCTCTGGGCAGGGTCACAGCCTTGGGCTTGGATGCAGGGCCTGCAAAATTGGGGGACCCCAGAGTCTTCCTCTCTGTTTCATCAGGTCTCCCCTCCTTCCCCTTCTGCTGAACGCTGCAACCTGAGAGTCCAACTGAGGCAAGTTGGGAGCCCCCCTGCCCTCAGTGCAGAGACCCTTGTGAGACTCAGGTGAGGCAGTGTGTGGACAAGCTGCCCTTCTCCAACACAGCAGCCTGACGGCCTGTTCCCACCAGGGTCACAGCTGTTCCACCGCAGAGCACATGCGTTCATCAGATTCCTTCCCAAAGTGGGGCACGCAGGGGTCCATTTTGAACTGAGAGGTTTTGGTAGAAGATATTCTGGGTTTGGACTCTGTCCAAGGAGTCCTTTACAACCCAGCCAGCCCCATGATGGGGAGAGGGACCCAGCCCGGAGGGCATGCAAGGTGCTAGAACCATTCTAGGTCTGGAGGGTTTGTGCTTTTTTTTTTTTTATGTGGACCATTTTAAAAGTCTTTGTTCAATTTCTTACAACATTGCTTCTGTTTTATGGCTTTGTGTTTTGGTTTTTCAGTCATGGGGCATGCAGGATCTTAACTCCCTGACCAGGGATCAAACCCACTCCCCCTGCATGGGAAGGGTGAAGTCTTACCCACTGGACTGCCAGGAAAGTCCCTGGTTTTGTTTTTTAAAACTGCCCACATTGCTTTACTGTTTTTGGCTAAACTGCCTGGGCAGGTCACTGATTCTTCCCTCACTCTGACCAGAGGTGGCTGGTAAACGCTCCCACCATTCAGGCGTGGTGGGAGGACTCACTGTTTGGAAGGCCAGAGCCTTCTGTTTGTGCCTGCTTTCCTCCCGCCTCCCTTCCGAGCACCCACTGGGCACGGAGCTCCTTGCTGGGAGATGGTGGTGCATTTCCTGCCCCCAGGAAGGCACAGTGTGGCCAAGGAAGACAGTGCGCAGAGCAGCACGCTCCCCCATGGGAGCGTGGGCATCTGTCTCTGATGCCCTGCCAGCTGCTAAACAGTGTGAGAACCAGGGAGTTGATCCTGGCTGTGACTGGGCCGTGGGGGTGGGTCTCAGGAGTGACTTTGGAGCTTGTTCCTAAGAGGACTAGAAATAACCAGACAGAGAAGGGAGAAAAGGCCTCTGGTCAGAAGGGATGGAGATGTGACAGGAGAGTGTAGAAAACGAAGCTGAGTATGGAGAAGTGGACAGATGGGGGTTGAGGGTAGGTCAGGGCCAGTGGTGAATCCCCTTGAGGGCGCTATGCCAGGAGAAAGTATTCCCCTTTACTTTAATCATGACGTAGCATCCCCTGTGATCTGTGTCCCATGGGAGGAGGGGGTCCCTTGATAGCCATTGGTAGGGGAGATGAAGTAGAACTCTTCGTGCCTAAAGCCAGTGTTTCCTGTGTTGTTTGGTTTGCTTGTGCATGAAAGGATTTCACATCTGGAAATTCAGTGATGGAAATTTTAAGCATGTACCAAGAAAGGCGAGGCCAGTTCCCAAAGGAAATAACAAAGACCAGGGAAGCCACCGGGAGGCCTTTCTGTCTGCTGAGTCACTTGTTAAGATCATTTCGCTCCCAAGGCAGAAACAAGTTGTATCATTCTTCCATGCAACTGTGCACTCGGGAGGTGCAGAGACTTAGGAGAGCATGAAGACGGGGGCACTGAGCTCCTCCATTGGCTCAGCTCTATGGGGAATTGGGAGGCCACTCTGATTGCTGTGGTGGAGACCCCAAGGGGGTCCCCAGTCCCACCAGCCTGCTCACACACATGGACATTTGACCCAAGGAGCTGAAGTCCCAACACAAATCCTTCCAGGTACTGTCCTCAAACGCGTTCGTGTTTATACCAAACGGAGGGGTCAGTCCTGTTTCTGTTTTCTCTGCCAGGCACCGCCTAGAATCCTTCGATCTCGCTTCAGGAAGAAAAGTACCTCATCCTCGGCCACTGAAACCACGTGAGTGAGATGAGCCAACAGCACCGGATCCACAGAATGTTTCTTCTCTGCCTTAAAGAGCTATTTATTCACTAACCACATAGAAAACCGCAAGCTGGTGTGCCCTGTGACAGCCTCGGACGTGGCCTTTCCTCTCTCCCCTCTAAGAGCCCCCCTTTCCTTTTCTTTATTTTGTTGGGGAGAGGATAAGGGAAAGGTAGTGTGTGGGGGGTGTGATCTTAGGTCTTCTGAGGTTAGTCATTTCCCACCATTGGATTGGCATACAGACAGCAGTGTTTTTAGAAGAGAATCCCCCCACCAAGCTGCTGAGATGTACATTTGTAACTTATTTGTTGCATACTTTGTTTTTAGTCCTATATATGCAAACAAAGCAATTTTTTAAAAACTTTTTTTTTTTTTTGGTTCTTGATACTAATACTTTGGACTACGATGTACATATTTATGGCTTTTGACTTGATACCGTGGACTTGCAAAAGCTGCCAGAGGTTCTGATGTATAAGAAAACTGCAAAAACAGAAGCGTAAAAGATTAATTCTGGAGGGTGTCTCAGATGTGCTTACGAAGCTTCCAAACACACCTCAAGGACATCCGTTTTTCCTGTAGGGCGATGCTCCGTATTCTTCAGTCAGTATACCAGAGAAGTTTAGAATGGAGACATGATATTTCAGTACCAGAGGTGGGTATGAAGTCAGGGGAACATCCTAGAATAAGGGAAAAGTCACAGGAAGCTTGTCTCCCCCATGGGCACAGGATTAGGAGCTTCAGAGTCCTTCCAGGGTGGGGACTTCTCATTGCCTTAGGCAGGTTGGCTCACCTTTGGTAGAAATATTCGGGGATGTAAACTCCTGGGATTGTTGTGACAAATCATTGAGTGTTTATTTCTCCTTCATAGCACCCTGCGCTGTGACTGGCAAAAATGAACCAATCCACCCAAACAAAACCAACCCTAGAACCACGCTTTGTTTCAGATGCTCCGTGAAGCACATCTGAGATGTCTGGGTAACGATCCCAACCCTGGGTTCTAAGAGGTTGTAGAGGTTGCATCTTCACGAATGTGACCTGCTGCTCAGCTCCACGGGCAGCGGTGGCTCGCGCCCTCTGTTTGCTTCCTGGCTTGTGTGGAGTGTGAGCCAGAGAGAAGTGGCACGTTCACGGGCACTTGTATTTCATACAGGCCCACTTCTTTTAGGAAGAGAACAAAGCGCCGTCTGAGGCGACTCCCTAATTAGACTGAGAATTTTATCTGAAATGAAGAATCTGGCTGTAATAGCATCTTGGTCAGAGGCGGCTGCTCCCCACTGGGAGCGCCGAGCCTAAATGTAGGACTCATCTACTTGTGCTTGGAATTGATGTTTCCTTTCAGTGTGATGCATGCAGTGGTCGCGACCCAGTTACTTATCATACTTGGATTGTGTTTGTTCATAGATAGGCCCTGAACACTAGAGAATTAGTGTCACGTACCACATAGAACCTACTGTCAGTCAGCTATAAGCAGGCCCAGTTAGAGACAGTGGCATGACTGAGCTACACAAACCTACATCAGTCTTTCCTGAGGACACATTGGCTGGATCTTAGCCACATCGGAAAGGGTTTTACTTGAAGTTGTTATCTACTAGATTGCAAATTTAAACCCCTTTTCCTCATAATGCCTCTGAAGGTGACTTGGTAATTTACAAAAGGATTTAGGAAAATAAACCTAAAAGCATATGTGGGGTTCAGGAGGGCAAACAGAGGCTGGCTGTTTAATGTTTGTGCCCCATACCCATCAATACCTAAATCTGTTAGTGAAGACAGAAAACCTGTTTTCTTCAAGCTCACAGAGTAGTTTCAAACAGAGGAAAAATGTTTGAAAAATGCTTTAAAATGTATTTACCTGTTATTGGGAGTACCCAGAATTATCTGAAACAAATGCAAAAAAAAAAAAAAAAAAAACTTATTAAGCAGCTTTTTAGCAACTTTTTTTTTCTTTCCTGGCCAAAATAATAAATGCCTTTAGCAGCAGAGATTAAAATCCTATTGTACACAAGCTATATTTTCACCATTTTACAGTGGAGAGTTTTAACAAGTATGGGCTCTCAAGTTTGCACTCAATGATGCCAAAAACGAGTTTGAAGCACTCTACTCTCAGACAAGCTGTATTACTTCTCATTTAAGATTTTAAAAAATAGAAAGCACCCAAACTGCTGTCTTAATGTAACTATTTTTCCTTCAGGTGTTGCTTAGGGAGTTGGTTTCTTTCTTAAAAACACTCACAGTACAACTGAGAGCAGCTGTCATATTTCTGGCAAAATGTGTTTACTTGCCCAGCAAGCTGTATATTTGTGTGGACTGACGTAAAAATGTGAATGCCTCCAAGTGTACACATAGTGGTGTGGAGTTCTGTCAAGACGATAAAGTTGAATGTTTTTAATTTGCTGATTTACAGACACGGGCTGTTTACAAAATGCTAATGGAAAGTCTGTACCTTTCACGTAGTAAATTTTTCTTTGCTTTTGAGCACCTGTTCTGTTTCTGAGGAGACGAGAGAGGGTGTTGTACTTACAAACTGGAGAGTTAGGCATAATCCCTCCTGGCTTTGTGTGAATAGCTTGCTCACTTTGCTGGCCTCTGAATTGTGTGTTCTCTATAGTAAACTGTCCATGTGTCTGTGATAACAGTGCTTGTCAACCATGACCACCATTGAGTACCTTCCTAGTTGTTCATCTTGCACAGCACTGGAAATGGTAAAGGATGTGCTTCATTCGTGAACGGCAGGCACCAGAGGGCTGGTGTTCTGGATGGTGACTGTGCACATTCCCCCTTATTTTATCTCTGTAATCCTATAGGACGATCTGTAATCAAATAGTATACTGGACTGTGCATCAAAGGGATGTAAAATTACAGTATTCCAAAGGTTGAAGTTCTGTTTTGTTATAATGCCTGATCTATATCTTGAATAAAGTCTTAACATGTTTCTTTTAAAAGATATCTTTGTAAATGTTGGGCTTATGAAAAAAGAGAACATCTTTTAAAAAAATGTATTTGGGCTTCCCTGGTGATCCGGTGGTTGAGTCTGCTTTGCAATGCAAGGGACACCGGTTTGATCCCTGGCTCAGGAAGATCCCACATGCTGCGGAGCAGCTCAGCCTGTATGCCACAACTCCTGAGCCTGTGCTCTGGAGCCCACGTACCTAGAGCCCGGGCTTTCCAACAAGAAAAAGCACTGCACTGAGAAGTCTGTGCACTGAAACCAGAGAATGTGCACCGCAGCCAGAGAAAACCATAATGGCTCACCACAGCCAACAAATAAACAATATCTTTAAAAAAAATGTATTCATGAGCAAGGAGTAGAAGCTGAATGTGTAGTCACTAACGGGCCTGGTGTCTGGGCTCTGCGCGTACTGCATAGAATTGTTGCAGAGAGGAAAAAGTAAATGCTATCAGTGCTTTGAAAACCAGTTGATCACATAAGCATTCATTTGGCAGTATGTTTGTTTTACATTTTTAAAGATCACCAGTGGAAACTAGGTAGCTGTGAAAGCAGAGCAGTTCTGCTGGAAGGCAGTTTCAATTGTGCAGACAGACCTTTGGTCTGCTGCCTTCCTTTTTGGAACCTGCTCTCTTATCTGCCAATGTGGGAGAACGTGTGCAGGTCAGAAGAGGGCATTGCACATGGAGATGCACTGGGTGGTGTGGAGGCCCTTAATGCCACTACAGCCCTCACCTTAAGACAGAAACAGGTACATACACGCTTCAGTGGGTGGTCACAAAGACTTAGAAACTCAGAAACATCACAATGAAACTCGCTTTTTCTTTGCTTGTGTAGTCCAAAATGTTTGACACGAGGATTGTAAAGCATAGGCTCAGCAGGTAAAGAAGATGATTCCAAGACGGACAGAAGAGATCAAAGGAAGGCTGAAAATCCACTCATTCATTCATTTACTGAGCCAAGTCCATGGTCGATGGAAATGCAATTAACCAGGTTAAGATAATGTAACAGAAAAGCAAAGTTATCAAATTTAAAAGCTGACTTGGTTCAGTGTCATGAGGAAGTGTTTAGTATTCACGGTGCTAGATTTCAGTCACTTGTGGATTTCAGTGTGAATTTTCAATGTTGTTGCAAGACTTGGAAATACACAAAGTTCCAAGGAGACAACCTGGGTTCTGGGACTCACTTGCTGTACTTTGAGAAATGTGTTTCCCTTCTGTGAATTTCAGTTTCTGCACATCTAAACTAGGGATGGATAGTGTCACCCTCTTTCTTGGAAGGGTGATAAGAGGGTTTGCTGTTTTGTGGCTACATGTTGAGACATAGTAGGTGCTTAATAAATTACACTTTTACATATACTTGAATGTCACTTATATAGACCTTTAATAAGATATCTTGTTGTCAAACTACAAAATTAGTGTCTGATAAGTCTGCTACCCACAAAACAAAAATTATATATGTGAAAATTCCTTTTCCTAAATCCAGTTAGCCCTTCCACTTCAGTCCATCTCTGGCTGCTGGGCCCGTCCTTGTCTCTACCTCTCCTGTCACTGGCCTAGAGGGGAACCAAGGTGCTCTGAGTCCCCAAGACCTGCTTGTGCACACTGCATTAAGAAGTCACAGAGGCATGGGAAAGGCTCTGTAGGGCACCAGCTGTATCCCGCTTCCAGGGGTGAGCAGAAGAGGTAAGGAGCCAGGCCAGTGAGAAATGATGGGGAGCCCTTGTGAGGGATGGGAAGCAAGTGGAAATGAAAACTCATCAGAACAGAAAGCCATCCCATGCTTCAGACTCTTGAGATTCTCATCTCAAATCAAATGTCTGTTCTTTTTCAATTGGTCCCATAAATAGACACACACTTGGTGGTGGTGGTGATGGTGAAGTTGCTAAGTCGTAACTGACTCTTGAGATCCCGAGGACTGCAGCCCACCAGGCTCCTCTGTCCATGGAATTCTCCAGGCAAGAATGCTGCAGTGGGTTGCCATTTCCTTCTCCAGAGGATCTTCCTGACCCAGGGATCGAACCTGTGTCTCTTGCATCACAGGGTGGTGTCTTGCATTGTAGGTGGATTCTTCACTGCTGAGCCACGAGCGAGACCTGACACACATTTGGCCTTGCAGTTTTAAAACACTCTGTTGTCACCCTTTTTCCTTTTAATGAACACACTAGTTTCAAGGAATTCCTCCAATAACCCAAGTCTGATATGCCACAGAATGTCAATTTGGTTATATTTTAATTTATTTGAACTACATCTTATCATCATCAACTATTAAAGGATCTGAAGCAGTAACTGAAGTATAATCGTATATAATAACGGTTTTCAGCCAGGCAAAATGCTGTTGTTTCAACATGCTTCCCAGATGATTCTGATGGGAGAGCTGAGAACCACTGCCCTAGACTGTAACCATCCTGGAAAACAGAATTTTCCTCAGTGCTACTTACCTGGTCCTCTTCAAGTGAACAATGCATCATGTATCATTTCTAAAAATGATTGAAATTACCTTTTCCCCTTTACATTCTACAATGTGGAAAATTCTGGAAAACATTTACCCTCACAGTTAAAAATGTGAAACCTCAAGGGGATAAATTAACTTTTATGAAATATAGTATCTTTTAACTCTTGGTTAAGAAGTTTTTGTCTCCATTTATATAGCCTCTTTATTTCATGAATGGGCATACTGACAGGCTATTTCATCTATGCTTCTCTCAACAAAAAATCTTGTTCCAGTAAACTCAGTGATAACTGTTTACCTGGTATACTAGGTGTATGTTATCACCCCAGGCTCACCTCTGAGGGAAGCTGCTCACATAACTATCTTTGGCTCTACGTGAACCTCGAGCATAATCAAATGAGCCAGTGTGGGTTCCTGACCTAAGAAAAGTCAGTTCTTACATAGATTGGTCAGTGACCCATGATGAAACCTAATATAAAAAGACAAACTGGTCCTATTAGAGTCTCTTGGTAATTAGAGACGGGAGACTGGAGCTGAGGGTCATGATGTAGAAAAGAACCTCAAAGGTGCAAGCTAGCATTATTATGAGGCAGCAGACACTAGAATAAACAGCAGCTGTGAATCAGAGGAGTTGGAGAGGAGAGAATGGAGCCAGTGATGTAAAAAGAATTTAGTCACATGCATGGCAGACCACCCAAGCCTAAAGAGCCACTGTTTCTGCCGCTGAGGCCCCTAGAGGTGCCTTGGACCCAGGATCACCCTGTAATTTCTACTCTCCCTGAGGCCTGGGGGTTAGTTCTGGGTGGTGTGAGGTATTCCTGCATTTCTGACACATGTCCTTAAAATAAAGTCACACTGCTTGAACTAACTTGTTAGCTTTATAGTCTTTTCATGTCTGTCCCAACTGGAGATGCCTTGCAACTAAATAAGCCTAACTGGAACAACTTGTTAAGTCATTGTCATTTATTAAAAATAATCAATAATTTAAAATTTATATTTCCCCAAACAAATCTGGGAATGTTTAATCCATTAAGTTTTAAAACATTAAGTTTAATGTTGGTACCCCATGTTTCAAGTATCAGTTGGTACAATTTACATCATGTCTGATACCACTTCATCTTTGCAAAGACACCGTTCACACACAAATACACAGTTAACAACTGAGAAATCATAGATCTTCTGATCTATACTTTCAAGTTTGTTCGATCATGATACATCTGATAAGGATCATCAGCATACCAGTTTCGCCTCTTCCAGAAAGACGTTGTCATTTTATCTAAGAGCTTACTCTGGGTTTTACTGCAGAAGACAAATTCCCTCAAGCGTCTTTTTCTTGCAACCGTCTTTTTCCATAATTTTTTCTTATAACCAGCCTGTTGAGATAATATTACAGAGACATTTACAACATTATATTATATAGAAAAAAACAGATTATCTTCACTACTTATGGTTTATAGGCCCACTGGGAACAAAGACTAAACTTTCATAGGGGCTGGTATGTTTTTTCAGAAAAATACAATCCTCAACGCAGGGGAGGCAGAGAAAGCACGCATAGTTTGTAAAACAAATATTAATAACTTCAACGGTTTTAAACAGATTATTTAAAGTCACAGAAAATAAAGCTAAATAAATTGTGGCTTGTGAAGTACAGGGTAATGATACACAATTTTAACGGCTAACTTTATATACATTACTTTATTATCTCTTGAACAGCAGTGTACTATTATTCTGATTTTACAGATAAAAGAGAAACAATTAGAGCAATTAAGTAGCAGACTGAGGTCCCAGAATTATTTAGAGTTCTTAACCGCTACACTACTCTCTTCCAAATGTCAAGGATGATGGAGTACTAGCTAACTGGTGACACTTATGTTCATTTATGGGAGCTAAGTATTACAAGGGCTGAGAAGCAGAGTTCTCAAGTATACTATGTCATTTATCCTTTTCATACATGGGGACTAGTTTCTATAATAAGTACTCTTTTGAGGAATAATGACTACAGGAAAACTATTAGGAAGAGTGCTGAAGGAATAGTTACTCCATATGTTTAACCCAGAACTGCCATATATATCATCCATACATTATTAATTTTGAAGAATTTCTGAAGAAACAGATAGTGAGATTGAATATAAAAACTATAATCATAGCCTATTTATTTTCTTTTCTCTTTTTTATTTTTTTGGCCTTGTGGCTTGTAGAATTCCCCGGCCAGGGATTGAACCTGGGCTCTTGGCAGTGAAAACATGAAGTCCTAATCACTGGACCTCCAAGAAACTCCCAATCATAGCCTATTTAAAGTAGAAAAGACCTCAGGTGCCATCCAGGTTAATGCTTGGCTAAAATCATACAGTAATTTACAGGGAAGGTTAGACTAGAACCTGAGCCATTGGTAAGAGTCAAGGGCTCTTACCAAGTGAACAAAATGCCAAGTGAATTGGCAATTCACAAGCATGCCAAGTGAATAAAACCACAGTTCTCTGACGGGAAGGTGCCGTGGGTTTCACATGCCTTAGTGTCATCGTGCAGTTAGCAACTTCTAGAGTACA